ATTTTTTGGTAGAAACTATTTTGAGTTTGTATTAAAAGAGCAGTGTAAATATACAGTGTGTATATATACACACATACCATCCGTTTTAATGCATTTTCCTAATCTTAATGAAAGGTTTTCTAAATGTGTATTTTTAAAATTTTAGTCAGGCAAAAGTTCCAGAAACCTGAAATACAAAGATTTCTTTGATCCACTTGAAAGTGATGAAGATAAAGCAAGTGTTCATGATGAACTAGGTTCAAATGAAGAAGAAATGGCTGAAGAAAAAGACATTTTTGACATGTGAGTATTTTGAATCATTTTTTATATTGTAAGCTGGAGCTACCCCATCATGTAATCATAGCTGCAGGTATATTTTTGTCTTAGGAAATTAGATTCCCTAAGATGAAATAATCTCAAGATGGCCAGAGTAAGGTCTTAATTAACTCGATAATTTTAGAATTTCTGAAACTTTTTTAGTGCTTGGTTGCATTTAGTATACAAAAGGACTTTCATTATTGGAAATCTTATTCTATTTTTGTTTGCTTAATAAAAAATAATTATTTCCTTTCATAAGTTTATTTTTGATATTACAGGGATGAAGGTTGTTTTGTTTTGTTATATCATTTTATTGGGGGCTCATGCAACTCTTAATCACAAGCCATACATCCATCCATTGTATGTCAAGCACATTTGTACATTTGTTGCCCTCATCGTTTTCAAAAGGGATGAAGGTTTTGACCTTGAAGAAAATGAAGACGGTAAACAACATAAAGGATTACGACGTGTGACCTTTGCTCTGCCAGATGATAATGAAACTGAAGAGCTAAATACCTTAAGTGTAAAGAAAGATTCTGGCGAAATTAAATCATCCTTTGAAAAAAGACAGGAGAAGGTAACTATTAGAAATTTTAAAATGTAAGTCTCTCCTTGTGCCGGTTTCAGCTGCTCTGGATACTGCTTGTCTCTAAGGTTCTCCACAAATGAACCTTACAGCCTGAATTTAAATTCATACCATTTCAAACACATCTTCCAGAGATCATTTAAATTTTTTTCTTTGCCATTTTAAAAATTATTGCTTGCTTTTATGCAGTTTATGGCTAATTAAATGTATAATGACACTTTAGATGAATGAGAAGATTGCATCTTTAGAAAAAGAGTTGTTGGAAAAAAAACCATGGCAGCTTCAAGGGGAAGTAACAGCACAAAAGAGACCAGAAAACAGCCTTCTGGAGGAGACCCTGCACTTTGACCATGCAGTCCGGATGGGTACGTGTGCTCCCTGAAGTTCGCAAGGGTCCCTTGCTGTGCTTCTTCTAGTTTCATTTCATAGAGCAGTTTGATATTTCTCCTCCTACCCACCTCTCCACCCAGCTTTTTGAAAAGCATACAGAAGAATTAGTGCAATGCCCTTCATGTGTTACACAACTAGATTTCCTAATTGTTGCACTTTGCCACATTTGCTTTCTCTCCCTTATGTATCTGTATTTGTGCACTTTTTTTCCATGAATCATTTGGTAGTAAGTC